ACTCATGGAGCAGAACGACCAGCTGGACCGCAAGGTCCAGGAGCTGACGGCCGACTTCACTGCGGCAGGTGTCCGCAAGGACACTGCGGCTGAGCAGCGGGCGGTGCAGCAGCGCCTCATCGAGAAGCGTCGCAGGCTGGAGGAGGCCATGGCTGCGTCGTTCGAGCGTCTGGGTGAGCTGGAGCGGCTTGAGGGCGAGAGGCAGCGACAGGCGAGGCAGCAGGAGTACGACGCAGTGACAAAATGCATCATTTGTATGGATAGAGACAAGTGCATCGCCGTCTTGCCCTGCGGTGAGATGGGAGGGAAAAGGGACGGAATGACACACAGCTTCTTTCTTTGTGTGACTACTTCTTTCATTGGTTCGCTCAGGTCACGTGTGCCTGTCGAGGTCTTCCGGGACACATTGGTGGCCCACTACGCCGCCGTGACGCCAGACAACGACGAGGAGGAGGACGACGTCCACCGCGGACGCTGCCCCAAGTGCAGACGCGCCATCAGCAGCTTCACATAGCGGCTGTACGTCGGCTGAAGCACCGACCGACCGCATAGCAAGCATCACCACCAGACATGTATGCAATGGACCCCTGGATGCGCATGTGTGTGTATGCATGTAAGCGAGTGTTGACCTTGGTCGATGCTCCGTACGTGTGGCGTGATCACAGTTTACTTTTCAACCAAATGACATCATCCAGTGGAAGACGAGACAAGAAGTCACTCAGTTTATCGTACACGCAGGCAGGCACACACAAGGGCAAGTGCAAGGGAAGAGGCAGGGAGACATCTGATCTATACAACGAGAGGCTCACTCATCTCACCGAGTCAGTCAGTCGAGCAGGCAGGCAGGCAGGCAGACACGCCACACGGACAAAAACGACAGCTTTCCAGATACTCACTCACACGTACACGCCACATCGATCGACCACGGACCGACACCCCGATTAAAACCATACATACACGGCCAGCCCCGCAACAAACAAATAAACAAATCAGCCATCAAATAAATCAGTCATCATATCCTGGGCGGCCGATAGGATCCCCTCTGCCCTCCCTGTGAGCTGCGCATCGACCCCCACATATCGCCCGGCAGCTCATTCAGGAAGGGCTCCTGCTCGAACGACGCGATCATGGCCTGCGGCTGCGGCGCCCGATGGAACTCCTCGCCGTGCTCGCTGCCATGCACAGAGTCGCTCGGCGGGGCGGTGGGGAACGTGTTGTCGAAATTGGCGTATTCCGACTGGGGGATGACCACCAGCGGTCGTCGTGGGATGCAGAGTGAGAAGGGGAAGGTCCTCGCCCAGAAGTAGTAGTTGGGCAGTGCGTCCAGACCCGTCGAGCCGTACACATAGGTCTTGTACAGAGCTCCGAGGGCACAGTAAGACACAAAGAGGACGACCAAGAGAATGAACGTCGTGACGAGCACGTGAAAGCCAGGGGCGGTGGGGCGGAGGAAGGGCGGGGCCCCGTGGTGGCCGATGGTCGCTACTTGGTATACCCGCGGAGGCACCGACCCTCGATCGAAGCTGCGCACAGCAGACAGGCATGCATGCAGCACATGGCTATGAGAGTGCATCCAGTGCACTTGCTGCTGTCCGCGTACTTCTCATCAGTGACGTACACATTGACGTCATATGCTTCCTTGAGCAGCAGGTCAGCGGGGAAGAACCCCACCACCTTCTCTGGACCCTTGTTGCCCCTGCCCTTGACCGTCCTGCCCCCCTTAGGCAGGTCGCTCTCCCTCGCATTCATCCACTGAGCCGACGCCACCTTTCGCCGCAGCGCCTCCTCCACACCACACACGCTGTACAGATGGATGCCGCTCTTGGACGCACTCTGGGGCGCAAAGATGAGGTGGTGACGCAGAGACTTGGACGTCATGGATGCGGGCTTGATGGCGATAGGCACCACACGCGTGCCTCTGGCAGGGTCCATGAATGAGTAGGGGAAGATCTCCAGCGAGAGGACGTCTGGCAGCTGAATGATGGATGTGGGTGGGGGTGACGGGGCCGACGAGTCGTCGAGGGAGAAGGCGATCTGGTAGAGGGCGGGGTGGTGGAAATAGGACCGCCGATGGCTGGAGGGCAGGAAACCCCGGCGGGTCTCCTGCGGCATGTCTATGTTCACCACCTCGGCGTACAGACGCTGCATACACAGACACACTCGCAAAGCACGCATCACCACCGCCTTCCCTCTTACCGCGATCTGTGGCTCATCCTGTAGCCCTCTCGTCTCGTTGCCCCTCTCCGACAGCGACCTCACATAATCCTCATCGTGGGGGTAGGGAATGGGCAGCTTCACGTCCCTATTGGGCTGGCCGTTCATCCACAGGGGTGGCGACGGGCTGTACCAGTTCAGCCCGCCACGTGTGGACGCGAGGGCCAGGCCGACCGAGCCGTAGCACTGTGTGACGGTGATGTGTCCGATGCCCTGTGAGGACGGCGGGGGCGGGTGTGAGGGGAGGGGCACACGCAGCTGGTATGTGGTCGACTGCACGTCGAGGTAGGCGATGTCGTGAGGGTCCTCGTTGGGCGGCAGCTGACCCTCCTTGACAGTGTCCACCTCTAGCCGCTGGGCACGGGTGCCTGACACAGAAGGAGGTCATACGTGTTGCCGTGTGCAGCAGATGTGATCTAATTGCGCATGTCGATGACGGACCAGCGTTGGCGGTGATGGTGTAGTTGAGCTGATGTGGTGTGTCCACTTGCAGGTACAGCCAGAAGGGCCCCTTGGCCCCACCGCCCTTGGCCTGCACCAGTCTCTCCACCGGTACGCTCATCAGCAGATCCCGCGGGCTCTCAGCAGCCGCCTCGCCCCTCACCAGATCAACACGATCAGACGACACCCCACCGCCCACAGTCACCTTGTCAAGCCCCCCGTTTGTCGCCGTCAATTGAATCTGCACAGCTGGCCCGGTTCCCCTGCTCTTTGCTGGCCGGTTTGCTGCGCGTTGGATCAGTGAGGGTGGTATCCAGAAGCGCAGGAGTCGTGACGATGCGGGTGAGAGGAAGTCGGAGAAGGTCTGGCCGTCGACGAGTGTGAAGGGGTTGGCGAGCGCCGCTGTGATGGCGTAGACGTTGCTGATCCACTTGCCCACAATCACCACATAGAAGACACCTCCTTTCGGGGCGGCGGAGGGCGGGATGTCAATCATGATGGGCGAACTCATTCCACCCCATGCCTTGTAATGACATCGTGGGTCATTTGGCTTGATAGGGGAGATCGTTGGGGCGGTGACGCCCTTGGACGGGTCGCCGCGCCATATGGGGTGCTCCGTCCGCCACATGCACAGCTCCACGCTACCCGCCTGAACCAGACAAACAAGACACATGACACTTGAGTGGCGACAGGACCTCTCATCTGCCATCCGTGTCGGCCGTGGCTGACCTCGACGTGTGTGCGTAGGGCCACTCCTCGTTCTGGCATGGACTGCACCACAAGCTCGTATACACGCTGGTCGTTCTCTGAAGGAGACACGCACACACAGCAAGATAGATGTCTCAATGTGTCCGTCTGTGTGTGTGTTTGGCATACATACCTGTGACGGCCCCCTGGAGCGGCAGTCCGTCCCACAGCTGTGATGTAGAGTGGCCCCAGTTGACCGTCACCAGATAGGACGAGGACCCCCCAGCCGGCACACCGGTGCTGTCGGAGCTCGACTCGTCACACGTGATGCCGATGTACAGCCAACCTGATATGACAGACGTGATTGATTGACACACAGGCGATAGATACGGTACACATGCTCCACTTAGGCACGGCACGTACCGAATGAGAACGAGGGGCTGGTTGACGAGATGACGATTTGGTCGCCTCCCTCCAGCTCGCCCATCCACGAGTGGTGGTGGGGGTCACGGTCGGGGTAGGGGGAACTCGCTGAAACATGACAGAAAGACAGACACACACAGATGTGGGATGGATGGACATCATGGCTTCATGTGCTCGCAATATGATGACTGACCGTTTGAGACGAAGACGTCAGGGTCGCCGCTGATGGGTACGACACTGACCTGGAGCTGCACTGTCTCGTGTCTGTTGACGGGCTCCGGCACATACACCTTGTACCGATCGTAGTGGTGCGCACGGGTCTGGCCACTCACAGTCGCACCTTGCACACAACCCACATCCATCCGACAAGACCAAAACTGGTCCATTGGCACACCCATCCCCTTCTGCCTCTCCCCCTACCGTTTTGAAGTTCCACCACGGTGTCCTCAGCCCTCGCCGTGATGGAGAACTTGTTCATCGTCTCCTGGCGGCCGGGGGAGGCAGGCACCACCATCACATACAGGGTGGGATTGTCGTCAGCTGGTGTGCTCCTCAGCGCGTCCTGGTAGACAGGGTGCGTGGCGTTGAGCACCAGCATGCCGCCCGTGACGACCGGTGTGGTGAGGGAGCTGTCGGCGGGGAAGTCGCTGCGGGATGACACTCGGTAGACCACGGCGCCCTCTGTGGACGTGACGGCGAAGAGGATGTTGGGCCTGGCGCCGGCACTTGTTGCTGTGTGGTTGTCTGGTGCTGCTGGTATGCGGTAGAGGAATATTTGTTTGCTGTCGGGGTGGTTGGCGACGGACTGGATGGCGTTGCGGCCCTCCACCAGGTTCATCCACGCAGCGGACGTCGTCACCGTCACCTGGAAACGGGCATCCTGCAGCCATACACACACACAGGCGGAGAGAAAGGTCGGATGCACAACCCGTGTGTGTGCGTGTCTGTCTTTTTGTGGGCATCGATGCGGTGGCTCACCCACCTCTGTTGAGTTTTGTGCGGCGAATGCGAAGAGTGTGATGTAGATGAAGCATGGCGGGGTGATGAGGTGCATCATGTCTGACGCCGCCGCATGCTCATCCACTGTGGTGGCCTGCAGCGACACACGCGACGCTGCATTGGGCGTCTTCCACCTGTAACCAACAGCAACAAGACAAAACAAACCCCAAATGCGACAGACAGCCGAGCGCTCTCCCCCCCTGTCCCGCCCACTCACGCATATTGTCTGGGGTCGCTGGAGTGGTACTCCGTGTCAGCGGCCATGACGACCACCCCGTTGTACGACTCAGCGGCCATCATGACGTCGACCCCCCGGTGTGCCACATAGAACTGGAAGTCCAGCCACTGTGATGTGTCCTGGGCGTTGGTGCCCACGGGGATGAGGCCCGTGTAGGGGTGTGCGTCCAGCAGCGTGATGACGTTGGTGGCGCTAGTGGCGGTGAGGGTGAAGTAGGTCTGGCTGCGGTCGTTCCGCCGCGAGGTCAGGCCAACAAACAGCTGCCGGTCGCCCGTGTCAGGAATCTCGTTGCCTGGTGGACGCATACACACACGTGGTTGGTTATTCATTCTCTCTCTCTCTGGGTGGTCTGTCTCCACTTGCCATTGATGAGTAGGACATTGCTGTCGTGTCCCATGGCCTTGAGGCTGTCGAACTGGCAGTCGGCTGTGGTGGGCCCCGGTTTGTCGAAGGATGCCACCAGGCGCACATCGTCCAGACGGGACGTGACCGCTGTCACCGTCAGGCCGGTGCGGTTGTTCACCAACAATCTGAAGTACTTGTATTCGCTGTCCTTGGCTGTGATGCGGCCGGCGGTGGGCACGCCCTGGGGCAGCCACAGAGAGGTGTCGCTGTCACGCCGGGCCAGCACCACCGACACAACGCCCTCCACCAAACTCGGAGAGGAACCATCACCTGCACACGTCACACACAGACAGACAGGGCGATGAAAGGGGCATGGCATGTGCGTGCGGACTGGCTGTGTGCTCACTTTTCATGTTCATGTCGACTTTGATGCATATGGGTCTGACGGTCTTGTCGTCGATGTCGACAGAGGGGATCTTGTGCACCGTGGCGTGATCCAGCTCGAGGAACTCCGCACCCTTGACGCTAGACTCAACCAGCACGCTGCCCTGGCAGTCCTGTGCGCCGATGAGGCTGACGGAAGGGTCGCCTTCGATGGGCGTCACGATCACCTGATAGCTGTTCATGTCGTCCTTAGGCAAATCATACCTTCATGAATCATGCAACACACACACAGCCACAACCAGTGAACCACTTACACGTCCACCACACGACACGTGTACCTGAATGTGGTGGAAGCGATCTTGGTGGCAGGGTCCTCGTCCAGCCGTGTCAGGTTGCGCAGGGAGGGGTAGTTGGGCCCATACAGATAAAAGGCGTCTGACGCGTCGCTCTTGGGGCCCACACCAGACACTTGCGCGGTGATCAGAAAGTCACAGCCTGCAATGCATGTGGGACACACACACGAGCAGACAGACATGCAACAGCAGTGAGTGCACCGACCAATCCCCACCTGCCGACTGGCCTACCTTGTTCAGAGAAGGTGCGGACGCAGAGAAACAGCTGGTCCCCCTCCGGTTTGAGCTGCTCACGATACAGCTGGAAGCCACCCGCTGGACCGGAGGCCTGCAGGACAGGAAGGAGAAACACACACATAGTTCGTGTGCTAATCTGCTGCATCCCCAGGTCTGGTCTGCATGGCATGGATGCATCAACCAAACAGCACACGCCCGACGCACCTCCAGTGCCTCTTGCTTCTGAAATCCGACTGTGAGGGCCGGGTCGCCACCCAGAGCTACAACCGACGCAGACACGGCCACTGAACACACACAACACAACACAGAACAACCAACCAGCTAGATGGCCGGCCGATGGGTCGCCGCCTGCCCATATAATCCCCCTCACGTAAGTACCCTTGTAAGGCACATGGTCGGGGAATGCCTCCTTGAGGTCCAGGGTGAAGCATTGGGTTGCATACTGCGGCAGGTTCTCATAGTATTTGGGCACGCCAGCAAAGATGGACACATCCTCACCCCGATACACACAGAGGGCGAGAGGCAAGATCAGCAGCAACAGCGATAGGACGCCAGCCATCATGGAAAAAGATGAATGCATCGCCTCCGGTCCGCAGAAGGCCGCGGTGTAGCACTCGCGTCTCGACACTCAAGGATGTGGACGGCACGGGCTGCTCGGGTGCACAAGCCTTCGTCAGACGATGAGCTGGAGACAGTGTTGGCAGTCAATACATGCTTAGTGTCCCATCAGGCCATAATGGCAGAGCTCTATCACGGCCAAACGGGGAGGGGCGCGACGGGGAGATCTGCACTCAAAAGCTCGCAGCGGTTTAGGGCGTGTTGCGTGTCCGGGTTGCATGTTAGGGTGCCTGTTTCATGTTGGACAGACCGACAGGGGACTTGGCCGTCAGGCCACCTAGGGTGCTCCCTGAAACCGCTGCTTTAGGGCGGGGCCCGCCTTTCACCACCGCCAGAATGAATGACTGGCACTTCTAGTGATACAATTCATTGTACAGGAGCCATGTGAATGACTCATGCATGCAATAACATGCATATGCGTCGTTGACAACGTCCTGCATAGAGAAAGCTCTCCTACAGTACGGCAGAGACGTGCAGACAACTAACACGCGACCATGTCAGTCACATTATCGTCACACAATCATCGACACTGAACGAAGCCGGCTGGAGAAAAAAGGCAGGAGCTCTGCAGATGCGGCTCCAGGAGAACATGCACAGCACGGCTGCTATACGTATAACACGTACCATCCATGCAGTCGCCATGGGCGACAAACCAGCGACATACACACATGCTGGCCGGAAAACTCACGTACGTATGTGCCGTCACCCGTTCCTCCTGCCCACTGCGGCAGCCAAATCAGTCAGCAATCACTCATCCAGGCACGCAATTCTCAACTCAGCCACCGACCAAAAACAAAACAAAAAGATGACCGACAACGAGAGTCCCGCCGAGCACAAAGGTGTATCCTTGGTTGCTTCGTTGATTCTATGAGTTCCTGCTGTGGCACTCCCTCTTGACGGTTGGGATGAGGCTGTTGACGGACTGCTGCAGGTTGTCCTGGTCGCTTAGGATGACCCGCTTGTTCTTGTCGTCCAGAGAACCCACTATCGCCAAAGACACCACACGCGACATGTCGAACTCGGGGATGTCCTTGTGGATCGTCTGACGGCCGCCCTGGAAGTTCTTCTCGACCAAAAAACCCATACCAATCACCTCAGCCCCTGAACCACACCATCACACACATTCCACGTGTCTGTCATGTGTGCCATCGATCCCTCCCTCCCCCGCTCCCTCTCTGTCTGACCGGCTTGTTTGCACATGCTGTGGAGTGCCTCGGCTGTGGTGCCGCTAGCAAGGAAGTCATCGACGATGAGGATCTTGTCGTTGGACTGGATGAACTCTGCCGCCGCATACAGCACAATGTCCTTGTTCTTGGTGTAGCTGCGGGACCTCGCCTCCAGCACGCTGTGGCCACTCAGGGTGATCGGCTTCTGCAACAGACAAACACACACACACACACACGCATATGAACGAATGAATGGCAGTGTTGTGGCTCCTCGACCTGTGAGGGTCGCGACTGACTGACATGATCCTTACGCTTTCTCTTGCGAAGACGTACGGCACGCCCAGGTGGAACGCAGTCGCTTGAGCTGATCGGCCCACAAACCCACAAAACAACAAAGACAACACATCAACGAAACGAATGCCCACGGTGCATCTCCACCGCGCGATGTGCCCACCTGGCGCCACGCCACTCGTCTGTGCTGTCAGCACCTTCGTAGGACCGTACTGCGTGAAGTGATCAGCCAACGCCTGACAGCACAGCAGGAGTATGTCATTCATTCTCTGGGTGGCCTTGTGACCGATTCATTGCCTCACCTTTCCACACGAGTCCATGAGCAGGGGGTCAACTTGATGGTTTATGAACGAGTTGACCTTCAGGATGTTGGAGGACAGCACCACACCATCCTGCAGAATGCGCTTCTGAAGCTCCTCCATTTCTGTATATATCTCCTGGCGAAGAAACTGTCGAACAATCAATGTGGATCAATGATCTCTCCTCGGCCTGCTCGTCATCCTTGGCGACAGCGTCTCTGTGCCCCCGTATAATGCGTTACACGGACTGGCCCTAGCCCGTTGTGCGCAGGGTTCCAGAAAAAACTTCGAAAGAGAACAGTTCTCCACCTCGACCGTTACCTTACAGTCGAAGATCCAGGCCGGGTAGACTGCCGGGAGCCGTCACGATGGTGGAGAACCTCAGCAACCAGCAGCTGTTTGACCTCGTCAAGTGAGCACACCAGCAGCGGACGGGATCTGAACACACCGACATCCTCTGCTCCTTTGGTGGTATCATACTGTGTGTTTAGGAAAGTGATGGACAATAACGAGAATGAGAACCTGACGCCCAAGCTGGTGCGGCGCTACATGGAGCAGGAGATGAGTCTGCCCGAGCACGCCATGGACGTGAGGAAAGACGAGATCCGCCAGCTCATCGACAAGTTCGTCGGGCCAGCCGACGCTGACGCAGACATGGAGGGCGGCGGGTCGCCCCACGACTCGGGCGAGGCGGCGAGGGCGAGCGGCCCGGTGGCGAACGGCGTCACGAAGGAGAGCGGTGAGGATGAGGACGATAAGGACAAAGAAGAGGATGCCGACGAGGATGAGGACTATGACGAGGATGAGGATGACGGTGGCAGCAAGAAGCGGCGCAAGACCAGCAGGGCCAAGCCTGCCGCATCCAAGAAGCGCAAGACCTCGGCACCCAGGGGAGGACGGACCAGCGTCAAAGCGCAGCAGAGTAAGCGCAGGCAAGGAAGGAGGGAGGGAGGGAGGGAAGGACGGTGCTGCTCATCAATTGAACTCTATCGGTGCGCGTGTGCTTGTGCCAGTGAGGTTGATGACGAAGGCGTATTTCGACCAGAACGCGGCGCCTCTCAAGATGAAGATCGGGCCGCACGAGGAGTCGCTGAGCATCAAGACCTTCAAGTCGGGATCCAGAGGCTGGTACGCCAACAACGCAACACAACACACCACGACACACCACAACGCACCGTACACATGTGCTGCTGCGGGTGTGGGTGTGGGTGTGTTGTGTGTAGGTATATCAACAAGAAGCTGCCCATCGACATCGGGGGCCACCAGGGCGTCACCTGCCAAGCCAACTGCATCATCACCGGTGCGCACACTCACACACGGGCAGCAACTCACACCCATCTCGCGGACCCATACGTTTTCCCTCGTGTGTGTGTCTCTCGTGTGTCGTGTGTCCAGTGGTGGGGTCTCAGCAGTGGAAGGAGGGGGGCAAGGTGGACGACGACGATGACGACGACGAGGAGGAGGACTAAGCTGACGGGCAGGGGCGATGTTGCCCCGGGTGGGTTTAATTCGACTGGGTGGGTGGGTGGGCGGGCGTGGGGTAGATGAGTCGACGACATAGTGATTCATTCGACGGGAGGTGTTCTTGACTGTCAATGCAATGCCCCTGGCAAGCCAAGCCCCCCATACAGATCAGATAGAGTGGCCTATCCATTCCATCCCTGCAGCACTGGCTTTCCATCCTTCCCACCCCCTCCCCCTCTCTCCTGGCCTGCCCGTTTCTTGGCTCTTCTCTGTCTTCTGATGGCTGCCTGATGTAGAGTGAGTGATGCGCTATGCGACCGCCGGGTGTGTGAAGTGACCTGTAGCTATCCAGCCAGCCAGCCAGCCAGCCAGCCCTCCGGCACATGTGCGGTGGCGTGAGGGGCAAGCGAGCCTGTGCGATGGTCTGTGGATTTTTGCCCCTATGGCGAGATGATGGGACTGATTGGATGGATGGATGGATGAATATCGGTGTGCAGCGCTTCCTTACTGACACGACACAAACGACCGCTTTTGCTCGCTCGGCTGGTGGGGACTGACTGACTGAGTGAGGTGACGCTGATCACATCAGGGCTGCCAACTGGACAGTCTGGATGTGGTAGGTAGTGCAACTGGGCGATCTCTTGCAGCAGAGTGGAAAAGGATTGACAGGGTGCTGTCTTGCAGACCTCGTTCACTTCGTTGGCCATGTCAATCGGTGCACCAACTTATTATTGCCGTGAATGCACTGTGGTCTCATGAACAAGGCAGGCACACATCTTTGTCTGTCCGACAATCGGCAGCTTGCTACAAGTCATCCAGAGCGTCTTGCACACGATTCAGCAGCGGCGCCGCACAGCCACCCCTGACAAGGAACACACCCAAACACACATGCAACATGGCCCACGACACCTGACGCGAGACACAACCCCCCCCCCCCCCCCCCCCCCCCCCCCCCCCCCCC